ACAATTGTGCACGTCTCATGTCCTTGAAATCCCATATTTTGCAGCAAGTCCATGTTTGGAGATGTCTCCTACAATTTATTATACAACCAACATATATTTTCTGTATTGAAATCTATTCTTTCAAGAAAGACCTACAAATATGTTCGAGATTAATTTTTCGAAAACGTGATCAGTTTTCGTGAAATTGTGCCCATAATACAGACAATTTAATTTTTTTAAACAATTATTTTCTCAAAAACAGCTGCAACATTTTGTTTTGAATTACTTCCTCGTATACAAGAGACGGTAAAATGACGATTTCATTCTTAATTTTGGCAAATCTTCCGTTTTTTCGAAAGTTGCATAAAGTTAACATTTCAAAAGAACATTAAATTGAAGGTAGACTTTTACCTCACAGAAAGTTTGTTATAAAAATGAGATATAGAAAAAAGTTTTTGTACAATTTTTTGAAGAAAAAACAAGTAGTTTTTGCGAAATTGGCTCTTGAAATTTATGCAATTTCTAAAAACCTTCATAAAAAACCGCTCCAAGTATTTTAATTTTTTTACATAAGAAGAGACTCTTAAAAATGGTGTGGTTCTCAATTTTGTACAATTCACTGAATTTTAGAAACCTTCAATTTTGCTTGAAATAATGCGAGAAACTATGTGCTGTTTCAGTACCATTAGCTTTTATTGCTTTACCGTAGACATACGTATATACGTAGTATCGGAATAGTTATGTAATGCTTCGGAAAATAGACTTCGAGATTTCCACGGAAATACTCGTTTTGGAATCCCCTGATAGGGAAAAGGTGTTTTTTTAAACGTCCGACTGTCCATCCACGTCTATCAGTCAGTCGGTCTGTCTGTTTGTCAGTCGATCTGTCCGTCTGGTGTATGCGAACAACACTAGCGCCTAAACCATGCGTAGCATTTTTCCTAATTGAAGAAACCTGTGTCCATTTAACCTAAGTCGAAGCTTTGCGATTTTGAAAATAATGTATTAGATTTTGGGGTTACTTTACATGAAACTCTGCGATATTTTCAAAATTTTCTCAAAAATGGCTCCAAATTTTATCTTAAATTTCTTCTAAGAATACAGTAAAATACACTTATAAAGGTGGCATAGGTTCGATTTTCAGTTTTCTCTGATTTTTCAAAAATTACAAGCGTGTTCTTCGGCGTCTTACTACAACTACAAAAGTGAAGATAGAGATTTTTCTACTGATAAAACTTGTTCTCCATATTTAGTTCTTTCATTAACGTCATGTATATTTGTTTGGTAATTTTAGAAGTCTTTACGTAATATTGCGTGCATAATGAGGAATTAAAAAAAGATACAAAAACAAGATTTCTCAAGAACGGCTCAAAATTTTTTCCTTGAACACTTTGGTAGGGATTGTGCTAATTTTACTTTTGATCACATAAACGTCTTACTACTCAATTCTTTAGTTTTGAGTTTTATCTCAAGTCGTTAATATTTATACTAGACGCAATTTTCTCACATGATTATATTTATGAGTATGTGTTTTTAGGAATGTCTTATAAAGCTTATCGAAAACTCAACAGTTTTCTGTCAAAACTAGGTCAAAATGGCGCATTTTCAGAAACGCTCAAGTGCTATTTTCTCAAAACAACTCCAAATTTTTCCTTCGTAGTTTTCGAAAGGATAGTGCTAACTGCAGATAGTGCTAACTGCACCCTTTAATATGTCGTAATGTTGATTTTTTTCGTTTTTTCAAATATAACACTAATATAATTTCTTTAGAAAAATCTTTCACGCCGTTAATATGCACACTTCCGGCGATTTTTTATTACACTTACACTATTGCATTTATGAAATGCATTGCATTTATAAGTGCTTAAAATGACTGCTAATGAAGTATTTCAAAAGCCAATAGTTTTCTGTGAAAAAGAGTTTCAAATATTTGCATTTCCAGTAGCACTTAAACTTCATTTTCTTAAAAACGGTTCCGATTTTTTCAATGAAAATTGCCGGTTAGGACGAGGGTTAACTCTTTTTTAATATTTTTCAAATAATATTTCGGTTCTACTATTTGAAAATTAAAAATGGAGACATTTCAAAAAAACTTTAGACGTCGATACATGGCAGCTGGCAAAAGTATGTACAAAGGCAGAATAGCTATCCCAGACCAAAGGAAATAGAAAACAATTACGGGAGTCTGTGCCTTTCTGTAGCACCACTAGGTTTTGGTAGGGATAGCGCTAAATGTACTGTAAAAGATATTATATAAATGCGATTTGCCTCTAATCTTTTGTTATCAAATAGGACACGATTGTAATATTTTGACACATCTTTCGCATCATTAATATTGATATTACCTGCAATTTATATACACTATTGAGTAATATTGGCAAAACATCTGTTGACAAGTTAACCTTTTCTATGTTCACACTCAGAAAAGTATCCCTCTTAAACCTCGATCTCTTTTTCTCTTGATCTCTAAATTGAGTTTTGTTTGTTATTTTAATTATTTCATTTTTAAAAGTGGTGGCTAGAGTACGGAAATAATGTTCCTCCCGGACTTATAGCACTACTGATAATAAGAAATGAGCTAGTTTTTAAAATGTTGCTCGAGTATCACACTCGAGATAACGTGATTGTGGCGAAAATAAATATTGTGTACCACTTACACTAATGTACACTAAATTCCATATGCCCTTAAATGTCTCTGTTGTAATCATCGGTAGTGCATGTATACATGACTTTAAGACAACTACAAAAATAATTCTGCACTTTCCAGGCGTGATTCCTGACGCGCTGAAGACGCGCTGCAGCAAGTGCAACGAGGAGCAGAAGGCGACGGTGAGCGTCATCAACGGGCTGCGCGCGGACCACGCCGACGACTGGGCGCAGCTGCGCGCAAAGTGGGACCCCGACAACCAGTTCTTCGACAAGTTGGTATTGTGGTGAGTTTTCGTTGGCATTTAAAATTAGATAATTATGAGTCGTCATTTCCAACAATATTTTTTTTATTACAATAGCAGCTTTCGATGGCTTAGCACTATCAGTTTTCTAGTAAAAGAAAACAAAACATTAAAATCAAAAAATATTCACGTTTTAATTTTTTTTCTTGTATTAGAAAACTTATGATGATGACTAAGCCATCGAAAGCTGTTATTGTAATAAATAATATTGTTGGCAATGACGACTCAAATACCAGGACCTGCTCCAATAGGCACGCAAATGTCTCTTGGGTCATTTCTTCAAAACTGTACTAAACTTTAAACTTATTTAATGAATATCTTATTCTACCTCCTTTTATTAAATTATGCAATATTTTTTTCTGAATAGTAATTGAAGATAAAAGTACCTGAAGAAATATGACGTCTGATATAAATATATTATTTTGAAATAACAGGTTTTCTTCTTTCAAAACATATTTTGTACAGATTTGATTTTTTGATTCACCCCCTCGCAGTTTAAGAGAAATTTATTATTTGTAGAAATCTTCCCTTTGAATAAATTTACAAAAATGCAGATGTATGTATTGCGAAATAAAAATAGCAGTCTTCGAAAAAATGCGAGAATATTCCAATGAAATATGGGCAAGGAAATTGAAAAGTTTGTAATAATTTATTGTATAAGTGTTTGTTTCTCGATGTTTCGAGGATCTTCTGCACACGTGATTGTCCCCTAGTCTTCTCATTCATTTGGATCTTAACTGACGTTTCTTCCCACCGGCTGTTTGACAAACCTCCATGTCACTTTTCATTGCTCTCTCATTCACTCTCCCGAGTCGCCTCGGGCCTTACTTTCGGCGTCGACTTAAGACGTCTTTTATGTGAACATCATGTAGCCCTCTCAAGTTCATCAAACTTGAGACCAAAACAGCAAGACGATTAATTACTCTAAAATTACCGTCTCTATTTCCTAATAAAGACAATGCTATTATCAAATACCCGGCAAATAGTGCGCCAATTGTAGAATTCATTGAAAATTCATTCAAAAAGAATTCATACTTGTTAGCCGTCTCATATTAAGTTTGCTTCTAAAATATCAAACAGCAGACTGTGGACTAGATCGTCTGCGATTTCCGTTCTGGATAGATATACAAAATCTTCGTTGTGTCTAATCATGTTTTCGTAATAAGACAATTAATTTCTAGGAACAACATAATTATTCTCTCAAATATTTACCCAAGTATCCCACATTAAGTGATTGAAGACAAATCGAGTTATTAGATATTTTTGGACTTCTACGCCATGGTCCAAAGGAGATTACTCCAGACGTTTCGCCTTCAGCTGCGACCAGCCACCACCACGCTGCCAGGGAGAGCACTTCGCTCCCGGCAGCGTCACCCCTGAAGTTGTCTGCAGTTGCAGGCGAAACTTTTGGAGTAGTCTCCTTTGGACCACAGTCTATTAGCCCGAAAATATCAAATAACATGGACATCGGTCGTTAAAGCCTACATTCTATGTTAAAAATGACTAATATTCGGTTTTGAACTATAGTATCGTTAACCTTCCTTCGTGCGGGATGTAACTTAATCCACATCTTCAGTTTTCGCTGTCAAACATTTGTTTAACCGAATGATGAGCAAACGTTCGTTTCACCTGATTCATTTCAAGTGTTTATAGATAATGTCTCCCATTGGATACATGAATGGATGAAAAAAAGAACGGTATAAGTTACATTTTATAAATTATGAGAAAATAGTGTTTATTTTAAGTTATATTTTATTGGCATTTTCGAGTTTTTAGTGAACAATGGGAATGTCGTGGTTTTGATGATGAAACAATGCACCACGACTTTACAGTGATATTGAATTAAATAATAAGATTTTTCAAAACTTATAAAATGTCACTTATACCATTCTGGTTTTCACCTATTCATATATAACCCCTGATGTTTCTATTTGTTTCGTGTGTAAAAATCAGGGCCACATAGCTAAAAAATGCTCAAATTCATGTAACTTCCAACTAACTAATGTTCTACCTCTTCCTACAGAAGTAGAAATCACAGAATTAACTAATGAGATTATTGATGTTGTCTGGATGGCCGAGATCGTTAAGGCAGTAGTGCCGTAGCGATCTAAGACTGAAGGATCGGGGGCTCGAGTCCTGCCTCGGCCATTGTTGTGTGTTTCGTGATTGTGTGTGTTGTGTGTGTGCAATGAGCTTGTGTGTCCCATGTGGTAGGCATCAGGAAAGTCATTCGGCCGTAAAAATATCGCCGAATCTATGTGAAAATAGTGCATGCGGATAATTAATAAAAAATGAGCCCACATCCATTAGAGCTGACCACGTAATAATGGGAAAAGGCAAATAAATATAAACTAAAATATTGTTGATAATTCTAATGTTTCTACGTAAGCTCACCTAGATAGCCGAGGTGGCTAGAGCGTGTACCGACTCAGTGCCTCGTTCGGAAGGGTCCCGGGTTCGAATCACCCCGTGGGCGTGTTTGTCTCTTGTCTTTCATGTACGTGTGTTGTCGCAGAAGGGTTTGTGAGTCCGCAAGTGTGTCTAGTGTGAAAGGGTATGTTCCTTTGAGAGACATAGTGGGTACCCGGCGTGGATATTCGACAACCCCGGAAGCTGGCAAAATCCCCCGGAAGAAAAAATCTCCCAAAGCGTATTAATCTTCACTTCCCGAAGCGGAGAATTATTAAAAAACTTGATGCAGATGTGAATGAAAAATCTTAAGCTAGGGAAGAAGATTAAGAAGAGCAGCGATCCAACCCTTCCCCTTCCTGTAATTCTTGCTAGAGATAATAATAACTAAACTAATTCGGCTATTTACAATGGACATTATACGATGGAATTGTAATGCTTTTTGCAAGAAAATCCTTCATTCAGCTTCTCATTCACACATTCAAACCGAAAATAATCAGCTTTCAACAAACAAACTTTAAATTTCAAAACTGTGGTCCAGTGCTTGGTTAAATTTTGTAATAGAAATAATTGCAACATTATTAGTGGAGGGGTTTCAATTTATTCTAACTCAGAATTTTCCTTATATAATGTTCCTTTTCAAACGCGACTGGAAGAAACGGAAATTAGAATTGAAATTAATTTCACTGTAACAATTTTAAACTTATATTTACCCAATAGCCAAGACATAAACCTCACTGAACTTCATGACATTGTCGAGCTACTTTAAAACCATTTATCACCCTGGGAGATTTTAATAGTCACAACATTCTGTGGGGATTTTCTAGTTCAGATCGTAGAATCATTGAGAAATGCCTTGACAAGAATGATAATATTATTTTTCATAATATGGGCAATGATATCTATTTTTGACCAGATATTCAAAAGGCAGTGTTACTGATTTGATCTTTTCATCCAATGACATTGTATCTGACATTGTATTGTAGAACTGGGCATATTAGATAAGAAAGCTAGAGCCGCTAAGTCCGCTTAACTATTAAAAATACTGTGCTACAACTTTTTAAAGATTATACATCTTTTATTACGAGCCAAACACCGTCCCCAACAATGTGGGTAAAAACAGAAATAATTAATGACTTTTTTAAAATAGGCCGTTTCAGAATTCGAAAAAGAATTCTCAATATCGTATACTGACAGCGTTATGAATGAAACGAATTCCTAGTCATACTTCAATGTTGTGTGTCATTAGAAATACTTTTCAGACGTGAAATGGAAAAATAATCTCTCACAAGAGGAGTCAGCAAAAAATTGAGTGATTAACGTTACAAAAAAAAATACTTTTCCTTCCATGTAAGGGCTAGTGAAAATGCTCGAGATAAAAAAATAATTTTCATTATTATGAACTTTTTACAATATTTTTTTAAATTGATGATTATTATTTGCTTACTTGCCTTTCTACACCCCTATTGTAGTAAAAATATGTATTTTGGCCTACCTATCTCAGGTTCAATAAATACCTGAACTTCTTTGCTCAAGTTATGTTCATTGTTTGGGCTATTTCTATACATATTTAATGTATTTCTGTAACTATTTGTTGACGTTCTGTGCGCTGTTTTGAAAATAGTACTAGTCTATATCTTCCGCGAATTGTAGGTTGGTACAGTACATTGTATAAGTGGGTTATATACAATTGAAAACTAATCCTCGTTACGTACACTTCAAATCTACTAAATATTAATTAAAAGCAACAATACGTTTTGGAGTTTTCAAACTATATTATACACTGACAAAACACAAAGCATCAGAAACAATATCTCTAAAACTGACTGAGCATGCTGCTAATGTAGTCATTGTGTATCAATCCACAAATTCACTGCGATTTAGTCAGTAGAATTGAAAATTCATGTAGACCTATATTGTACTACTTCTTTTAATTCTGGACATTCAACCTTCTCAGAAACCTTTATCAGGATAGGCTCGTATGAGGATCGGGATTACCTTTGAAGGATTTCTGCTAATAAATCACAACAGTTGTGGCAACAAAATGACATTTATTGGAAGTTACACAGCGCTTTGGGAGCACGGGACGTCTCCCGGCGTAGGAACAGAACTTGCGCCACGAGCGTGTCAGCGGCTAGGCAGAGAGCGAAGTTATCTGGTGAGCTTGTCGGCGTACTTGGCGACGAACACGCCCTGCGGGTCCCACTTGGCCTGCAGCCGCTCCCAGTCGGCCTGCTTGTTGGCGCGCAGGAACTTCACCACCTTGTCGGTGCCGCTCTTCTGCTTGTCGGTGCATTTGCCGCAGCCGTTGGTGAGCGCGTCGGGGATGGCCTCTGCGAACAAGGAACGGCGCTGCTCAGTATCGCCTTGCCAGGATTCAATACTCAGCCTACACAGCAATAAATGTACACGTAGGCTTCCGCGGCTGGAATTCATGACTTCTAGGCTGTTCCGGCCTATCTGCCAACGACGCGGCGTCACCCGCACAGCCTAGAAGTCATACACAGCAATAAACTCGCAGATCGCAAGTTTCCAGCTGAGATTCATTGATTTATTGGTTAGTGATTGCCGACGTGTCATCTGCTAAGATCATTAGTCACGTAACTGCAAGTGTTCTCATCGTGAGTTCCCCCTGGATGCTGAGTTCCGGTGCCGACCTACACGGCTAATGGTTTTCCCCAACCAGGTATCTCCCATCAACCGGCCTTCGGCCTAGACGCTACAAATTCGAAGCTACCGAATTCTCTTCCGGCATGTGTGGTAGTGTGTTTAAATGGTGAGGATGCAAGGAAGAGGAAGCAAAAAGATCACCTGCGGTCTGTGGTCCTGCTCGGTCCTGCTAGGGTACTGCTCGGGAATTTTCCAGGTGTTTATCGGGGATATCATGGAAGGCTACCGATCAGAGCAGTCGGGCGTAATAAAAGTATCCTCCTGTCAGCAGCTGTATTCGACCTAGCTCGCTAGTTTGGAAAATCCTGTCACCGCCGGTACTCGAACCTCCCGGTCATAAGCAGAGGTGCCAGATTAGGCGGAATTCCGCTAATTCGGGAGGGGGACGACTTCCGGGAGAAAATGCATTTTGCGTATTATTATATAATGAGAAGATATCAGAGCCCTCTTAATTTTCAATTATGTAGGCATGGAATTGTGTTAACTTCTGAAAATTGTACTATTTTCTAAATATTCATGGCTTATGGCAGGTAGGATTTATATACGAGAGTATTTACTTTTAAACTTCTTATGATCGTGCAGCTATTTAAAAATTTCTAACCGCAGTTTCAAAATCTGTTGTTTTTTTTGTTTTGTTTTTAGTTTGTTTTTTCCTGTTCTCACCTTTTTTCACCACTCTGGCATTTGGTGGACTTTCCCAATAGGGAACTGGCAACCCAGGTCATTGGCATTGCAGTTAATCTCTCGAATCACCAAAACCGGTTTTCCAGCCGAGGGGCTTGGATTTGTGAGAAGAGTAAAATTTACAGTAGCCATTTCGTTCTTGCGGAATATCAAAGAACACTGGCTAATTCCGGGTAAATTGATTCTTCTAAAATTTCCTCTGCTCCGGGCGGTGGTGGGGGTGAAGCGGAATGGAGTTTGAGAGGGACACACTATCGATGTAATTTATTCCCTTTTTATGGCGAATAGATGATGGTGATAAGTAAATAATGACGGAACTCGGGGTACTTTACATAGATACTTTAACATACTCATATACGACTGTGTTGCTTCCGACGTCTAATTGATTTTCAGAAGTTCTTTAAAAGCATTACAATAAGTTTACAATTAGTCACAAGGTGGGAAACTGTTGCAGCTGTTATAAGAGGTGGTGTATGTGTTCTTGCAACACTTGTACTTGTGTAATACTTGTAATACTTGTACACATCATGGTTCAATCGTTTTTCAATCATCGATGTTCTAAGATTCAATGCGAATACTGAAGAGGCTGTTTGTAAGAAGAATTTACGACATGAATTTGATAAAAGCAGGTTTGTCACGTGTAAATAAAGCATGGAGTGTGCAAATGTTGTGCTCGTAGGTTCTGCTCGCTTCAGACTGAGATACAATGTTTCCAGCACTGGCGTAATGACGCATTGATTTAGTGGTGGAGAAAATGAACATTCACCAGGGTCATATGCATAGGTACACCGTACGGTTAAGATGTTTATCTTGTCATGGAAGACGTCGCAACGAGCATTTGTAAAGAATACGTTACACGATGAGAAATCAAGCAACTATGGAAATTTTAGAAGCAAATAAAAGATGAACTTTTCCCTTTCCTTTCTATTCATTCGATTCTTAGGCAATATCAGAGAAAGTTAATGAAATTTGAAATAACGTTCACCCATTAGTCGTGAAGATAGGGATTAATAAGGAACCAGTTATATAAAATCGTTTTTTCGTTTAGATCAGCTATTATCGTATATTACTTTTGCTACGATAGATTTTATGAGTGGTTCATTTTCGTATTAGAACGTACTTTAATACAAAATAATTTAACATTAAAATAGCGTTTTTATTACGTCTGAGAGAAATAGCGAGTCAAAGAAGCAAGTTACTCTGAGACTTAGAAACTACACATCTGTACGTTGATGCAAACACAATTTTTGCTAATGCCTAAATAGATGAGATTGTGCGTTCCATTTAGTGTGCAATATTTATTTGCGGAAGTTTGTTAAAACAAGGCATTTTATAGCGGAAGCAAGAAATTTCCCAAAGAAACATCCTGGAGTGAAATAGTTTTCTCTCTAGAAGGACAGTTGTTATATGTAATAAAAGAAACGTGCATCAAATGGTTACAAGCTCTACGTATCGCAGAAGCTGAGACTGTGAATTATTCAAATGAATATATGAATACCATGTCTATTTCGCTCGCGTAATAGATGAAAAGTTGCAATAGGAGAAACAAGTTATTTCAATGCTCTGATATAAATTTGGCTACTTCTTTTTCGTTGAACATCTTCCGAAAATGCGCATGAAAAAAGTCGTAATTTCACTTTATGGTGGTATTTATTCCAAAAATATTTGACTAGTCCAAAGGATAACAATAAATAACATATTTCGCTAGTTAGAAAGATTCATATTTTCAACATGCCCTAAGAAACAAAAGACAATAGTTCATTGCGGAAGTCCAAACAAGAGACTGACATTGTCAGAACGCGAGTAAGAAGAAACTTGTTAATACATAGTAGGTTACAAAGGGCTAAAAAGAAGAAAAGGAAGGTTAGTGTTAAAGATATATAAGTTCAAGCTTCAGCTGAAAAATATTGAATATGTTTTGGAGGGAGAGAGAAAGAAGCAGAGAAGAAAGGAAGAATAACATCCCTCTCATGTGACCTTGTAAGATTGTATACACATTAACACTGAGTAACAGAAGTACGTCGAGAGAGCGAGAGAGGTCACTTAGGTACAAATTGCAATAAGTACAAATTGCAGCAAAACAAGTGAGAACAGTGTGATTAAAGATATATTAACTGAGATTCGATGAAAATGATATTTAATAAGTACAGTCGAGAAAATGGTTCTAAGCAAAAAAAATACTCACTCCTGAGCTCTTTGCCGTCAGCGGTGCAGTGGCTGTCGTTGTCGGCCAGCAGGCACTCCAGGTACTTCTTGAAGAGCCGTTCGTTGCTAAGGATCTCGTCCAGGTTGACGTTGTCGTACTTGTCGGTGTACTTCTCCTCCGCGGGGACGGCCAGGGCGACGGCCGCCAGGGCGGCGAGGGCCAGGGCGAGAGCGAGACCTCGGTTCATGGCGGCTGAGAGGGGCGGCTGTGCGCTTTGAGCAGAGGATCGCCGGGGAGTGCGTGGCCACGGCGGAGCGCCAGCCGTTTATATGGGATGCAGCGTGCGTAATCGCCCGCAACGGCTTTCGCAACTCCTGTCAGTCGTTGCCTTCACCAGACCCGCCCACTTTCCCGTGGCGTCCCGCCGCGGTCACAAACCCGAACCTCCACCACCGCCGCCGCCGCCGCCGCCCCGGCCCCGCAGACGTCGTCCGCAGACACCGGAGAGCTCCAAGGTCGCGTTCGCGGAATTAGCTAGCGCCAATTTATTACCCGCGCGTTCGGCTGCTTTTTCTTGCTTGTTCGATCCGTGCGTGCGTCAATCGAAGTGGTCTAACAACATTACTAATTTAATCGCCGGAACTTACAACGTGTATTCCCATCTCCCGCTGTCCTTTTTTTTACTTTCTTCATCTCCCTTTTTCTTTCTTTTTTTACCTTTGGCGTTTTGTTTATTCTCTTTGTGGTTGTCAGTCTCGGTTTCTTTCTCTTTCTTCGTTCTTCTCCATCTCTTCCTCCTGCTTTCTTTCGTCCTAATTTTCATTTTACCCTACTTTCCTCACTCTTTCTTATCTTAATACCACTTTTTCTCACACATCTTGCTTCTACCTCCGGCTTCTTTACTTCAAATGGTCTACACATTACTGCAACACATTATTGTTTGAATCGCTGTTTTTATTTTTGTGTGAAAATTTGTTGTCTAGAACAAGAAGACCTAGTTGTTGGGCAACTATACACTATTCAAAAATACCAATTTTGAATTATAATCGTCACTAACAGAACTTCATGAAGCCTTCAAAGGCATATTCGAACTTTTCTGACACATGCTAAGATAATAGGCATCATTTATGCACCTTCGCATTTCATCTCGCATGGTTTCAATCTCGAACTACAAATTGTTAAAAAGACGACAACGTTACCAAATCATTTTCAGTGTAGGCGATATTGTCTGCTTTGTGCAGCCTCATGAGTCTTTACCTCCTTGCACAGTCTGCGACCTCCCTCTTGAAGACGACCTCTATACATTACTCATGACCAGATTTCCATTGACAGCAAGACATCGTAGTGCCTGCAGACAATGGCCAGGGGAACATAATGAGGCTCGCAGAGTGAAACCGGATTCTGAAGCCTTGAGGTTGAAACATATTCATACCATATGTTTCGCGAGTTGATGGTGATGATGGTGAGACGGAATCAATTTAAGTTAACGATTACCTTCTCATTACTCGAAGCAGCTAATTCGAAAGCAAAAGAATTTATATTTTCCAACCGTTTGTTCTAACGTGTAGTATTATCCCCGATACTTTATATTCATGTGCGATGTTTTTACTTTGTCACCTAACGAAGATCTAAGAAGAGAAAGGTATGTAATCATGCGCCAGAAAAAATTGTAACGAACAGAATTTGCGCGAACACGATTTCCGCAAATTTCGAACATCTCAGTTAATTTACCTGCAGTTTTTCTGCGTTAATTTACCTGCTTACCTGTGATTGGAACAATCATCTCGAATGTCTTCTGGAGCTGAAATTTGCTATCCTTGATGTGTTGCCTTGATTTGCTGTCCTTGATGAATATTTCCACGACCAAGAAAATGCAAAAGCTTTCGGTTGCGGTTTTGATTCTTAATGAAAACACCTTCGTGCATGTAGACATGCAGGGGCCACCAAATGTGGTCGGACACATTTAAAGTCGTCATTTAAGATGTGTTAAACTGTAATTAGACACCTTTGTTTCTGTAATACTTGATCCGTTTTTTTCTTTTTATCCCAGTGAAATTAGACCAAAAATTGGTGACCGAAGGAAAAAATCCTGGAGTCTTGAAACGTTTGCACGTCTGTTTTTTTGTGTATACTGCACATTATAGTAAAAATCTTGAAGTGGGGGAGAGATGAGTCGGAGATGGTGGGGGGCTTTTTAAAGGTAATTTTTAATAATTTTAAAGGTAAGTTGTTTCAATGTATCTCCAAAACTATCAATCCTACCGAAATGTAGGTTCTACAGAAAGTTGAAGTAGATAAGAGTTCCTACAAAAACGTTCTTATAAGGTTTTGTTGTAAAATTAAGTTAAAGGATCGAGAAATTCTTGTTTCATTTACACGGCCCTTTTTTTGTAGATATTTTCTTTATAAAATCATATGATATTGTATGAGTGATGAAATGACATGACATATATCAACAAATGCAGTTGCATATTTTACGCAAAAACATGAACATTTTACATCATATCAAATATTATTTTGTACATTCTTGAGAGTATCCTAGGATGTGGAGTCCAAAATTCCTCTGGTACGGAAATTGATAATACGTAATTTATTTGATAAGGATCGAGTTCAAATATTTGGTGAAGGATTCCGTCAACATATAAATTACATAAAACAAAAGACGAGAACAAATATCGTAAACGGAATAATCGTGTTTGCCGCGCACATAGAGAGACAACTAAAACAGATTCTCAATCACGAAGTGCATACTCATTGTTTGGCTCCTTCCAAAAATCTCCTCCCCTCCGGTGTTTGAACTCGAGACCTTGGGAGTGGGAAGCCAGTGAACTATCCCGTGCGATACGATTCATAGCGTTGATATTTATTGATTTATTGGTTTGGCATGGAAAGTATTGTATAAAGAAAATGTATCAGTTTCAGTGGAGAATTAAAATAAACGCTAGTAAGTAAAAAGAAATTTATTTCTAGAGCATATTCGTCGCCTCGACGAGCAGGCTCTTATGCACTGTCAATTCACAGAAAATAACGAGGTACTCGTCAGTGTAAACGATGACTTAAAAAAACTGAAACGTTTAGTAACTCGGTTCTACGTTGAAACTCTGTCTTCGTACTGCCTTCGGTAAACGCCTTGGGGATCCCATTTGGCCAGCAGCTTCTGAAAATCTGCTGGTTTCCGATCGTGCAGGAACCGAATCACCCTCTCTGCTCCATTCTTCTGCTTCTCGGTGCACTTAGCGCAGTTGTTTGTCAACGCCTCGGGAATGTATTCTGAAACAACACGGTAAATATTTGAATTTTAGATACTACAGCTCTTCAAAGAGTATTGATATGTTGATTAATGTTTAGAGAAGAAAAACGTTTCCATGGAGAAATTAAATGTTTTTCTGATTTTTAAAAAGAAAGTTATGAGAAAAAATGACAAATTACAAGCAATTACTTGGAAATGTAAAAATAAAATTTGAAAGTAAATTAAATTGATGAATGGCCGCCGGTACAAAACCTTCTCAGACTTTTGTGTCGATGCTCCGCCCCTCATTCTACCGATCCATAGTGCACATATATAATTATTACTACTATTATTAGTACTATTATAATTATTATAATTATTATAATTATTATAATTATTATAATTATTATAATAGAAAAGTAATAATAATAATAATATAATTATTATTATTATTATTATTATTAGCGAATCGGGCATTTCTGACCACGCTACAAGTTCTATTCTGAGGCCCAGTCATATTTTATGTCGGAGAAAGATTAAGGTATGTCATTGTGGAGATCAGCTTTTCGGTTGTATTTCTTGGTAGAACAAGGTTGCTAAGCCTTGACCATGAGGCATGAGGTGATAAGATGATGATTAGAGGTGATAGTGGTATTTTTGAACCACTCCAGCATTCGCCTGTATGACCGCAGGAAACAACGAAAACGTGGACGAAATGGCCGGCTCGAGGATTAAAGCAGACCTTCCCGACTGCGAAGTCAGTGCACTACGTTCTGAGCCATTATTATTATTATTATTATTATTATTATTATTATTATTATTATTATTATTATTATTATCATCATTATCATTATCATTATCATTTCGCTTGAATCTACTCTTATACCGGGCTTCTCAAAATTACATAAGTCAACAATGTGAATGCGTGCTAGGTCTGCATAAAAAGTGAATTTGAGTGACAGTTGGGAACGTACTAATTCCCCACTACGAACTTTAATGAAGATACTAAGTTACGGTATGCGATTATCATTAACCACGGAACTTACATCTCACGCTACTCACAATTCTCGTTCATGCAACGTTTTTACAACTTACATCATTTACAACATAATTACATCAACATCATTACCTTCCCAAAACATTTTCGATACGATTTTTATTTCCGAGTCTTCTAACGATATCTTACGAATAGTCAGTAAACTAAAAAATAAATATTCATCTGGTTTAGATGAATTTCCGGATTGTTTATTGAAAACTTGTGTACCTGTCTATTACACCCGTTAACAACTATTTTCAATACTTCTTATGCACAGGAATATTTCCAGATATTTTCAAAACAGCAGAAATTAAGCCACTTTTTAAAAAAGGGAGAGAAAATGAAATTCAAAAGTACCGACAAATTTCTTTTTTGTCAGGTTTCTCTAAAATATTAGAGAAACTTTTCTGTATGCGAATGGAAACTTTTCTGGGGAAAAACGAAGCGTTTTCAGTCTCACAACACGGGTTTAGAAAATCAAAATCTACGAAAAATGCCAATATTTTCTTTTTTTGAAGATGTTGCTTCATCAATGGACCAAAATGAAGAACCTATTGGAATATTTTTAGGTCTTTCGAAAGCTTTTGACGTTATTGACCATAACATCTTGCTATCAAAATTACCTTCTTATGGAATTCGTGTTATCGCCCTGGATTGGATAACTTCGTATCTTGAACATCGATCTCGAAGAGTAGAAATACCATACTGGCACGAAAGAACATTATTTACTTATCTTTCCAATTCTTTGCCAATTGAATATGGGGTTCCACAAGGCTCGATCTTAGGTCCTATCCTCTTCCTGTTATACGTATACGATATGCTGTCGTCTAAACGATATGTTATCGTCACAACGGAAGAACGGTTGTGTTTTCCGATGACACGACTGTTCTTTGCAAAAAAAAGAGGAACAATAAATAGTACGATTTTAGAAGTTTAAAATTGGTTTTGTAATAACAAATTAATAGTTAATGAAGGAAAAACAGTTTCAATGCATTTTTGTCTTTCAAATCAGCAATCGTATGCTCCATTGAAAATGAATAATATGCAATTAGGTGATGTTCAGGGAACAACATTTCTAGGTGTGTCAATTCAGTCAAACCTCAAATGGAATGTACATATAACAAAATTAAACACTAAATTAAGTTCATTTGTTATGCATTCAGAATACTATCAAATTCTATCAGCCTTCATGCAGCTCCTTGCGCGTATTTTGCAAATGTACGTTCCCGCCTGATATATGGTATAAAATTCTGGGAAAAGTCATCATGTGGTACTCAGACCTTTAGATTGCAAAAGAAAATTATTCGAATAATGAAAAAATGCTCTCCCCGTTACCCTAGCGAGTCTCTCTACATAGAGCTTGGAATCTTACCTCTGCCTATATATATACGCATCTGTAATAGTTGCCAGCAGTGATTTACTTAACGGTGGGAACATATTTTCATGCCATACTGATATTTATAATTACAACATACGTCGTTAAAACCACGTTCATCTAGTGTCAGTATCATCAGCTCACTATCAGGAATCCACTTACAATACATGTACGTTACTTTACCACGCATTGCCAGATGACATTAGACAATTAAAGTTGGTTCACAAATTTAAGTTAAAAGTAAAATATTTTCTGCTGCATCACTGTTTCTATACAATTAGAGACTATACTGATTATCAAAAAGAAAAAAATATGTTTATTTTAAGAAAACAGTGATCTATAATGAATTAGTTAACATTTGTATTGTATAATTTTTTTAAAAGACTTAAACATTTTTTTTTACTTATTAATATTAAACTTTCACTCATCTTTTAACTATTTACATTTAAAATGACGGTAAGTGATTCTGGAACTCAAGAAAACGTGCGCAGATAATATTTCCCCCCCTATGTCACATACAGTTTTTACTGTTTTTTTGACTGAATAAATCTAAATCTGAATATAAATCTATTACTTGTATTAGCTAACTTGTTTACGCTTGGCAGACTAACTGCGACATTTCAGCAATATGATTAATTTTTTTGTATAATTCAAAGTACCTGTTCAAGAGACGTAACTTCTGATTCGCTATTCCCTATGTCACAGACCCGGTGTTACCATGTGAGCGTCAATCACACTCAATTTTATTCCGGGGTATAAATGAGAACGGGGGTAAGAGTTTTTTTTTTATTTCCGTCAATTCAGAATTAAGTATAATCGGGATAAATAATAATAAAAGTAATAATAAAAATAATAAAAGTAATCGCTAATGACCTAGTAGTTGATGCGACCTTAAAAAAAATAAGTCATAATAAAAATAATAAAAATAATAATAAAAATAATAATTACGCAAAGGTGAGTCGCAGTTTGAGCACTTATTTCGGACTAATTTAAATTACAAAACTAAATAAAAACATAAATCAAGAAACAAAAAATAAATATTATAAATAAAATAAATTTAGCTAAAACGAAAGTTCATAAGAAAGAAAATTGGTGCGCTAACGCTATAGTATAACGCAAAGAATTATGCAAAATAAGTTACAC